CACACCAGAGTGCAGCAGGCGAGAACAGTAGAAAAAGAGGTTGGGGAAGAAAGACCACAGTAAGAACTTTGACACACTCGACGCACTCGTCTTGACAGTAAGGCTATCTCTGTGTGAGCTGGAACTATTGCAGGGATTTAAGACCTTCATTCCAAGTTCTTACCCACTATTAACAGTGCCAGCTTTGGGGCCGGCCTGGTGGCATAGTGGTTAAGTTTGTGCACTCTGCTTCGGCGACCTGGGGTTCGCAGGTTCAGATCCCAGGTGCGGACCTGTGCACCACTGATCAAGCCATGCTGTGGCAGGTGTTCAACATATCAAGTAGAGGAAGATGGGCACAGATGTTAGCCCAGGGCCAATGTTCCTCACAAAAAATAAATAAAGTGCCAGCTTGGAAGCAGGAATGGCAACGGTAATCAAAATAACTACTTCCAGAAAGTGGTAGAAGAACTTGTTTCTAGAGGGCAACGTTAGGGCACTCTATGGCATGGCATATGTCACTTGGTCATAGTCCCAGTCAGTTTGGGAAAGGGAATTCTGAGAGGACGGAGCCCTCCCCAAGTAGGAGGGAAGAGCACAGCACAAAAGTCCTCACGTGACACATTCCTCCTGAGGTTCCTTTAGCTACGGGAAGGAACCTACTCTACCCTTGCTCTGCCTGGCTAGAGAGATGTATAGCAGAGAGTTCATGTTTCTAGACACCATCTCTATATTTTGAGATAGAGTAGTGATGACATTTCCTCCCACTCAAAGGTGAGTGTTTCAGTTAACCCATCAGTTTATTTACTTTTATTTTTTGTGTGTGTGCTCCTTAGTTAGATTTGAATTATCCTTTTGGTGGAAGACTGCTAAAATTCTCAGCAGTTGGAAGGAGGATTAAGCAGTGTCTACCACCTGCATAGAATTGGTGAATGAAACAGCCCTTATGGGATCTACTGTTTCCATTTCCCCTCAAAGTATTAGCTCTGAATCTTCTGTTAGAGGAGATAAAGGGAAGCATAAGTGGGTCGTATGGAATTATCCTCAACTGAGCTATGTCATGTGCATTTTTAACACAACCTCTTCATTTGCAGGGGAATGGGGGTAGGGGTTAAAATCTGGCAGTGACACCTGCCATGCATGCCATTGAGTGCCAGGACTCATTTCCCTGTCTGGCTGGCTTGCGAGCTGTTCCCTTCCTTTCTCCCTTGAATTGATACCTGTCCCTCCCAAAGTAGGATGCTCCATTCAGTAAGTTGACTTTCTCTGATAGAGAAAAATTACATTCTTGAGGTGAGTTGCTGCAAATGTAGTCTTCGTTGAATTCTAGCACCAGTTTTGACTCAGAATATGGTCTTTCTAGTCTCCTGCCATATATTCTAGATTTAGTCCAGCCATAAAGTATTATCACATACTCAGCCAATAAGGCACCATATCTACTTACATGAAGTCTAGAAATATAATAATAGCTCCATGAATTTTAATAGTAGAGCCTTAAATGAATGGAAACTCAGGCAAGAACTCTTAGTGATGTACCCTTCTTTAGAGAGCAGTGAGTCACAAATGTTTGAACTACGGAGACTGCTGTTTGACTTTTGAACGACTTATTCCTTCCTAAATGCCCCCCTCCCCCAGCATGCTGGGTAAAGTCTATTTTGAATTTATAATTAAAGCTAATTATAAGTAATTTTGTTTTGAGGCGACTTTGTGGGGTGTGCCATGCCAGGACTGAGAGTCATTCCCCTTCCCCAAGGCCGGCTCTGAAAGCCACCTGGAGGAGCTTGTTGAATGAGAAGGTCTTTACCTTCCCAAGTGTATGAGCCTTCGTCAGACTTGGGAAGCCATCCATAGGTGATGGACTCCTGTGATTAGGACTTCTTACACAGCTTCCCTCTCACATCAGCTTTTTCTGACTGTGATTTCTCTCATTCAGCTTCATGTTTGGCTTTCTCACCACAAACAAATTGTCTCTGGTACAGTTGAGATTCCAGGAAGATTGCCAGGATGTAGCCCTTCAATTCCATAAAAAGGAAAGATATTAACTAAAAACATATACATGTGCACTCAAAGTCTCCCTCACCCGTTCGCGTGCCTAGTCACTTACTAAGCTTTTCCCCTTCTTCCCATAAACAGCCCCAAGAAACACAAAATTTCCGTTTCAATCACCCTTCATCCTCTTCCTCTCTTCTTTCCTCCCCCACCTCTCTCATTTCTTGGCACGTGCAGAATGTCATTTCCAGCAATTAGCAAATGAAATCAGTGTGCTGCCTGTGCCCAAAGGCCACATGCCTTCTTCTGTCCCTCCCCTTGCAAGCTTGGGTGATTAATTAGAGGCACATAGGTTACAGTGTTGGGCAATTACTCCTGGTGACAACACACAGGGAGGCCGAGCAAGGCCCAAATATGGCCCTTTTCACCCACCCTTCCAAAAGCCAAACATCTTGCACAAGATTACGTTTATAAGCTGGGTCCTGTGCCTAAGCCTACTAAATGATAACAGCTCAGTGATGCTGACTGCTTTGTCTCCCGTTCTTCCAGCTCCTCGACAAGTGACCTCTCCAACTATGACCATGCTTATCTGAGACGGAGCCCTGACCAGTGCAGCTCCCAGGGGAGCATGGAGAGCCTGGAGCCCAGTGGGGGATATCCACCCTGCCATCTTCTTTCCCCTGCAAAGTCCACCAGCAGCATTGACCAGCTCAGCCACCTCCATAACAAGAGAGACTCGGCTTACAGCTCCTTCTCCACCAGTTCTAGCATCCTAGAGTATCCACCCCCTGGCATCTCTGGGCGGGAGCGTTCAGGCTCCATGGACACCACTTCTGCTCGAGGTGGCCTCTTAGAAGGGATGAGGCAGGCAGACATTCGCTATGTCAAGACAGTCTATGATCCCCGGAGGGGGGTCTCAGCAGAATATGAAGTGAACTCTTCTGCCCTGTTTCTTCAAGGTCGGGAAGCCCAAGCATCAGCAGATGGTCAGGGCTATGACAAATGGCATAATGGTCCTCGGGGCAAGGGAGCGCCACCCCCATCCTGGAGCCAGCAGTGCCCCAGTTCCTTGGAGACTACCACTGACAACTTGCCTCCTAAAGGGGGTGTGCCCCTGCCCCCAGCTCGGAGTGACAGTTATGCAGCCTTTCGGCACCGAGAGCGGCCCAGCTCCTTGTCTAGCCTTGATCAGAAACGGTTCTGCCGGCCTCAGGCAAGCTCTGCAGGATCCCTGAAATCTCCCTTCATAGAGGAACAGCTGCATACTGTGCTAGAGAAGAGTCCAGAAAACAGCCCCCCAGTGAAGCCCAAGCATAATTACACCCAGAAGGCCCAACCTGGCCAACCTCTGCTGCCAACTGGCATCTACCCAGTACCTTCCCTGGAGCCACACTTTGCCCAGGTGCCCCAGCATTCCGTGAGTAGTAATGGCACGCTCTACCCTGCACTGGCCAAGGAGAGTGGATATACAGCTCCTCAGGGGACTTGCGACAAGATGGCGACCCTTGATGAGAATGGGAACCAAAATGTATCTGGTAGGCCTGGGTTTGCCTTCTACCCACCCCTAGAACATGACTCAGTGTCCTCAGTAGAGAGGAAACTTGAAACTTCAGCCAAATGTGTCCCCTATAAAGTCCATTTCCCTTCAGTGCCTGAAAACGAGGAGGATACATCCCTGAAGAGACATCTCACCCCTCTCCAGGGCAACAGCCCATATCCCAATGAGAAAAAGAGCACCCACAGCAACAAACCATATTCTAGTTACCACAGCCTCAAATCCCCTCAGGCTCCAGCCTGGCAAGTGGGTGAAGACAAGAGATCTTCCAGGCCCTCGGAGCCTTGGGAGAGCAATTTCCACGAAGACCACAATGCCAACCTCCGGCAGAGGCTGGAGAGAGAAGGCCTAAGCCAGAGCCCGTCAAGCAACTTTGGCAAGACCAAGTCAGCCTTCTCCTCTCTCCAGAACATTCCTGAGAGTCTAAGAAGGCAAAGTAGCCTGGAGCTAGGAGGGGGAGTCCAGGAGGGCTACGTGGATGGCCGGCCCACCTGTGCAGTCAACACCAAGGCAGACTCGGAAAGGAAAGCTGTTCCTGATCACAGGAGCCATCTGGACAGGCCAGTTTCTTATCCAAGGCCAGAGGGGAGAACCAGTACCTTGGCCTCGTTCCACAGTTCAGACCCAGGGTATGAAGAGCCGCACTCGCCACCCCACCAGCAGGCGTCCAGTCTGGGCCGGAGGAGGCTCAGCTCGGGCAGTGCCTCGGCCCTGCAGGGCTTTCAGTATGGGAAGCCCCACTGCTCGGTGCTGGAGAAGGTTTCCAAGATTGAGCAGCGAGAGCAAGGGAGCCAGAGACCCCCGAGTGCGGGCAGCTCTAGTTATGGCTGTAACTATAGGCCCAACAGGACGGTCCCAACTTCCAGTATTTCTGGGAATGACTTCGAGGAGACAAAAGCCAATATCCGGTTTTCTGAATCCAGTGAAGCCCTAGGCAATGGGGAGCAGCACTTCAAAAACGGGGAGCTGAAGCCGGAAGACACTTCCTGGCAGCCATGTGGTCCACAGCTGAGGAGGGGCGCCGAGGGCAGCCGTGGCCCCCCACTCCGAGGCGGTGAGCCCCCGAGGCGGGACACTCGCCTGCTCCGCAGCCAGAGCACCTTCCAGCTCTTCGGCGAGGCCGAGAAGGAGGCCATGTGGCGGGACCACAGGACCGGCTCGCCCGAGTCGCCCGTGCTTGACGCCCCCTTCAGCCGCGCCTACCGGAACAGCATCAAGGACGCACAGTCCCGCGTGCTGGGGGCCACCTCCTTTCGCCGCCGGGACCTCGAGCCGGGGGCACCTGGGGCTTCGAAGCCCTGGCGGCCGCGGCCTGCGTCGGCCCACCTGGGTCTGCGCAGCCCCGAGGCGCC